GATACAGATCTGGCGGCAACAGGATAAATGACGTTGTTAGGATCTTTTTTACATTTCTTAGCTTCATTTTTCTTCATTCTCAGGCAGTGGAAAGATGGCAGCCCTAGATTTTGTCATATCGGCTCAACTCAAGAAGAGGGGTGCTTCTTTCCTGGAAGACCCAGAGCTGACTCTTATTGGCTCAGCTTATATTACATCTTCCTAGCTGAACCAATCACCGGGGCTGGGCCATGACGTTCTCTCATTGGCCAGGCCTGGATCATGTGCCTCCATCTGTTTAGTGCTAGCCTATGTTCCATCTTTCCATTTGCTTACTTTCCCCAGTTCTAACTCTATACCTTCATACCAACTGGCCCCTATATGCGAAACACTTTTCCTCAAAGTTCTTTCACTAGCTTGTCAACATTTTCATCATTTTACCTCTTATTACCTCCAAACAATGTTTCCTCCCTGAACAAGGCTGGGGTTACAATTATTCTTCTTTAACTGATGCCTTTCCAATTTAGACCTGTGAATACCAACCTTGTAGTAGTGTAAAAATGTCTTTAATTATTCATTGAGTCTGACAAGAGCTGCTGTGTTCAATTGATTTGTTGTGTGTGTAATTCACTGCCTGAGTTTCAATCTGGATGTCTGTCTATATCGAACACTTCAGTTTTAGACCACAGGCTGTTAACAGGCATGCAAAGGATCCGTTTAACTTGCTGACAAGGCACTCTGTAGTCAGATGATATTCAATGTTCATTGTGTCAATGGTGTTTTCAATCCTGTGGACTTTGTGATCCATCGTGCCAATGTTGGCAGAAATACTGAACTCTATTATGGTATACAATTTCCACACCATTTAAGGCTTTGGATTAAGCCTTTTACAGGCGAATGTCTGTGAAACTGAGTCCCAAGGTCTCAGTTTTAGCTTTGAGGTTGCTCCTGAACTTGTTTTGTGGCTTTCCTCAAGTCTGTACACCTTCCTAGGTATCAGTTACCCAACTGGTCATAGGTTGGGTGTTTTGCTGTCTTCTTTCCCAAGATGCTCAGCTAGGTTAGCACACTGGCTTCATTTGTAACATGTGGGTAACACAACTGAGGTAGGATACTTGATACCCTAAGCCTCATTTTACTAATTGACAAAAGGTGATTATAATAGCATTGATTACCTGATGGTCACGGTGGTGCTGAAGATCAAGGAAGTAAAGAACATCATAACTGACACTGGTAAGAAATCAAAGTGAGCTATCATCATCGCCATCATCATCATCATCATCATCGTCATTGTCATCATCAGGATCTGCTGGAAATAAGACGTAGGTGGAATGACTTAATATAAGCAGGAATTTACTCCTTAAATCCACTGAAATACACAGCCAAGATTACCCCAATGAAACTTTAGTCGTTTAGCCGTTTTCACCCCAGGTCCTAGGGTTACTAGCAATCAGCGGTTCTCAAACCTTAGGTGCATTAACACCAAATAAGTAACGGAGGACAGGAAGCGGGCTAAAAGCTATCTTCAATTAGATTAATTTCTCCTCTAATTCAATTGTAAAATATTTTGGTTTAAGAATTATCACGCCTTTCACCTGTACAACTTCTCCGTTGAAAGCACTGAATTGCAAACCTTGCATGAAAATTGTTTCGCACCTTTGGAAATGGGCTCCTCCACTTCATAGGAACAGATCTGCTAAGTGGTGTAGACTTGAGCTTTGAGTCAGAAACCACGCTTTTTTTTTTTTTTTTTTGCAGAAAATGTGTATAAGCCAATACAAGGACCCTTCTCAAAACCTAGAGAAGGTGGACATCCCTGAGAGAGGTATGTTTTTCTTGAAGATGGGGGGAAGTTTGGTTTCCGTCCTTTGCAGATTCAAATCGCTCCCTGGACCGTCCCTAGTCCTTGCCCAGAACCGAGACCTCTCCTTTGTACCTGCTAATGTCACAAATTGTCCGAACGCGCCGTGGCTGGCCTCCGCCCAGACCCGGATTCCTGTCCCCTCCTGGCGCCCTGGACCAGGCATCAGGCCCGCTGCTGGCGAGGGCTCTCTACACGCTCGTGTCCTGACCCCGTTTACTTTTTGGGTCCCCGCCGGTGCCATCTGGCTGGAGCCCCGAGGAGAAACGAAAAGTTGGACGTTGTCACCCCTGCCCCTTGCCTCTCCATTCGCTAAAACATAAAAACCCGGGGCTGCTGGGGGGCGCGCAGCAGGAAAGAACAAGTGGAGACAGAAAGCGGCCCCTTGTCCCTGGCGGCCTCTCCGCGGCGACGTGCCCGGTTGCCCAGCCCGTTGGCGGCCAGAAGTACAGCCCCTTCC